AATCCTTAAATAAGAGACACGGGGGAATGATTAATGGACTTCAATGTCTGTACACTAATGCGCAAAGCATGGGAAATAAACAAGATGAGCTTGAGCTCCTGGTACAGCAAACTAAATATGACATAATAGGAATCTATTTCAAAGAAACAGACCAGACAAGAAAGGAGGAGGAGTGGCGTTATATGTCAGGGATGTGTATACCTGTGAAGAGATCCAAGATTTAGAACCTCAAAGCCAAAGTGAGAGCATTTGGGTCAAAATTAAGGGAGAGAAGAATAACAGTGACCTCATTGTGGGAGTTTACTATAGATCCCCAAGCCAAACGGAGGACATAGATGATGCCTTCCTGGAACAGATGGCCAAGCATGCAAAAGGAAGGGAGATAGTAGTAATGGGGGACTTCAATTACCCGGATATTTGTTGGATGTCAAACTCAGCCAAGAGCATAAGGTCAAACAGATTCCTCACTGCCCTTGCAGACAACTTCATTGTCCAGAAAGTGGGAGAAGCAACAAGAGGAACAGCCATTTTAGATCTGGTCCTAACCAATGTTGATGACCTGGTTAGTGGGGTAGAAGTGGAAGGATCATTAGGCGCGAGTGATCATGCTCTTCTGAAGTTTACTATACAGCGGAAAGGAGCAGCCAAGCATACTAGGACTCAATTTCTCGACTTTAAGAAAGCCGACTTCATAAAGCTTAGGGAAGTGCTGGGTGAGATCCCATGGACAGTAATACTAAAAGGAAAGGGAGTTCAAGATGGCTGGGAGTTTGTTAAGAGGGAGATAGTAAAAGCACAACTTCAGGCAATACCAATGAGACGGAAACATGGAAGGTGCCTAAAGAAGCCAGGGTGGCTATCTAAAGAACTTTTAACTGAGTTAAGATTAAAAAAGGATGTGTACAAAAAATGGAAAAGGGGGGAACCACCAAAGAGGAATTCAAACAAATAGCCAGCACGTGTAGACACAAAGTCAGAAAAGCTAAAGCACAAAATGAACTCAGGCTTGCTAGAGAGGTTAAAAGCAACAAAAAAGGCTTTTATGGGTATGTTCGTAGCAAAAGGAAGAACAAAGAAACCGTGGGGTCACTCAGAGGAGAAGATGGTGAAATGCAAACAGGGGACACAGAAAGGGCTGAACTCCTCAATGCCTTCTTTGCCTCAGTCTTCTCCGATAAAGAAAACAATGCCCGACCTGAAGAATTTGGAGCAAATGATTCAGCAGAGGAAACACAGCCCAGAATAACTAAGGAGATAGTACAAGAATACTTGGCTAGTCTAGATGTATTCAAGTCTCCAGGGCCAGATGAACTGCATCCAAGAGTATTAAAAGAACTGGCAGATGTGATTTCAGAACCACTGGCAGTCATCTTTGAGAATTCCTGGAGAACAGGCGAAGTCCCGGCAGACTGGAGGAGGGCAAATGTTGTCCCTATTTTCAAAAAGGGGAAAAGAGAGGACCCAAATAATTACCGCCCAGTCAGTCTGACATCAATACCAGGGAAGATTCTGGAGCAGATCATTAAGCAAACAGTCTGTGAGCACCTAGAAAGGAATGCTGTGTTCACCAATAGTCAGCATGGATTTCTGAAAAATAAGTCATGTCAGACTAACCTGATCTCGTTTTTTGACAGAATTACAAGCCTGGTAGATGAAGGGAACGCAGTGGATGTAGTCTACCTTGATTTCAGCAAGGCATTTGACAAGGTGCCCCATGATATTCTTGTAAAGAAGCTGGTAAAATGCGGTCTTGACTATGCTACCACTCAGTGGATTTGTAACTGGCTGACTGACCGAACCCAAAGGGTGCTCATCAATGGTTCCTCTTCATCCTGGAGAAGAGTGACTAGTGGGGTGCCACAGGGTTCTGTCTTGGGCCCGGTCTTATTCAACATCTTTATCAACGACTTGGATGATGGACTCAAGGGCATCCTGATCAAATTTGCAGATGACACCAAACTGGGAGGGGTGGCTAACACCCCAGAGGACAGGATCACACTTCAAAACGACCTTGACAGATTAGAGAACTGGGCCAAAACAAACAAGATGAATTTTAACAGGGAGAAATGTAAAGTATTGCACTTGGGCAAAAAAAATGAGAGGCACAAATACAAGATGGGGGACACCTGGCTTGAGAGCAGTACATGTGAAAAGGATCTAGGAGTCTTGGTTGACCACAAACTTGACATGAGCCAACAGTGTGACGCGGCAGCTAAAAAAGCCAATGCAATTCTGGGCCTCATCAATAGGAGTATAGCATCTAGATCAAGGGAAGTAATAGTGCCACTGTATTCTGCTCTGGTCAGACCTCACCTGGAGTACTGTGTCCAGTTCTGGGCACCACAGTTCAAGAAGGACACTGACAAACTGGAACGTGTCCAGAGGAGGGCAACCAAAATGGTCAAAGGCCTGGAAATGATGCCTTATGAGGAACGGCTAAGGGAGCTGGGCATGTTTAGCCTGGAGAAGAGGAGGTTAAGGGGTGATATGATAGCCATGTTCAAATATATAAAAGGATGTCACATAGAGGAGGGAGAAAGGCTGTTTTCTGCTGCTCCAGAGAAGCGGATACGGAGCAATGGATCCAAACTACAAGAAAGAAGATTCCACCTAAACATTAGGAAGAACTTCCTGACAGTAAGAGCTGTTCGACAGTGGAATTTGCTGCCAAGGAGTGTGGTGGAGTCTCCTTCTTTGGAGGTCTTTAAGCAGAGGCTTGACAACCATATGTCAGGAGTGCTCTGATGGTGTTTCCTGCTTGGCAGGGGGTTGGACTCGATGGCCCTTGTGGTCTCTTCCAACTCTATGATTCTATGATTCTATGATTCTTCATTTTAGGATTTGTGCTGCTACTTTAACATCTGGCAGCAGTAAAATTCTTTCCTATGCTTTTAGTGATGGTGATGATGATGATAATTTATTAATTGTATCCCGCCCATCTGGCTGGGTTACCCCAGCCACTCTGGGTGGCTTCCAGCATAATGATAATGATAGTGTTTCTGTAGTAACTGCAGCTGATGTGCAGCTATGTGCAGATCTACTATTCCAGAGCCACAGTTAAGATGCATTCAAGGTGGCACTAAAATAGAAGATAGGAGGGGATACAGTGTGATCCCTTCCTTACCTACCTACCCACCTACCAACCATGAAGAGAGACTCTATGTAAACTAGGCTCTCTGTTTTTTTAGAAGGGAAATTAACATAACCTTAGTCTCTATAACAGGACAGTCGTTTGAAGGACAAGTTATATAGGTAACATTTTGATTGTGCTATAAATAATACAAGAATACAACAGAGCTTATAATATGAATGCATTTTCATTTGTTTTGTGCCTTGGGATACTTTGTATGAGAATGCTAATTTATGTTGCAGCTGCATACCTATAATAGTGTGTGAGTTCGTATGTGCTCTTGTTGAGCTCTTGTGTTTCGATAAACATTTACGTTTGAAATCTTTTATTATGTAGTGAACAAGTCAGTCTCCTGCTAGCCACGTCCCAGACCCAAAGCCCTATTTTTGATGCAGTGTACACACACAGAACTTATCACACAGAAGGGCCACCTGTATCCCTTTGTGGTCACAGTTCACTGTTTCATTGAAATGAATGGGAAACCACTATGAACAGAAGGAGATATGGTTTAGGGCAGGGGTCTGCAACCCGCGGCTCCGGAGCCGCATGTGGCTCTTTTACACCTTTGCCGCGGCTCCGGGACGGATACTAGCGAGGGGAGGAGGCGCATTGTGCGCTCCGACACTCCCCACTGTGGCGGGCGCTGTACTGGCTGTGACGTCGCATGGGGGCGGTGCATGCGTTAGTCACTCACCGTCCCGACGTCACCTTCCCGCCCGCTGTCAGATCGGAGGGCAGCGGCGTGCATGCTTTAAATGTCGCAATGGTTTTGCGGCTCCCAGGTTTTTTTTTCTTCGGAAACGGGTCCAAGTGGCTCTTTTTGTCTTAAAGGTTGCAGACCCCTGGTTTAGGGCTTCTGGTCTTGAGTCTCTACAACTCCTTTTCAGATACCTGTTAGTGGGCAGTGGCTAGGCTTTATACCCTTTAATGCCCTCTTTTTCGGGAGCAAATTCAAATGGCTAGCTTCATTTTTGCACCTTAAATGTAGTTGCAAGGAAGGGAAAATGAAGTAATAAATATGCAGCTGATCCACTTGCAGCATAAGCCTCTGCTTGTCTACTCAAGGGTCAATCTAACTTCAATGGGTCTTGCTCCCAGATAAGTATAGAATTGCAGCCTTGATGTGTCACCAGATAAATTGATCAGCCAACCCAATAAATGGTGCATCTTGGCTAGTGAGGTGCTGAAGTTTGAAAGAGGCAGTATTCGAAGTCCAGCTGTCTGCAGTTTCAGCCTTTGCTTCTTGGCACCTTGCTGTGAACTTCTGTAGCTCCGTCTATCATTCCCAAACTTAGGCTCCTGGATATTGCTACAAGCACACATACAGCTTCCAAGGATATCAGGACTACTTGGAAATATGGTTCCTGTGGTTTCCGACATCCCCAGAAAGGGCACCAGGAACCTTTTCGCAGTGAGGGGTCACTAGTATCCTTAAAGACATCAGGAACCATGGGAAGTGCATTTCCAAAGGTTCTTATGGTATTGAGTGTCTAGGGTTTAATGGCACTCTGGCTTGCGAGTCTTTGCTACTGCCATGCATAGTCAAGTTTGGAAATGAGGAATGCATATGTGTCTTTTGGGGCTTTCATTGCAGGGTTTGAAGGCAGCAAACCTCTAGCTCTTCCTCCAATCCCAATTACAACATTGGCATAGGCTCTTAATTAGAAATAAACATTTGTTTTAAAATTATTTTTAAATTTTGTTTGTTTTAATGGTACCCATTCCATGTTGAGTTTTTGGAAATCTGTCCACCATTGATCCTAGGTGTTTTCACAACACAAACATTTGAGATTAAGAGTGTCATGGAGCATTTTTTTAAAAAAACCAAGAACCACCACAAATGCAGGAAAAATGCCTATAAACACAGGAATATTTACAAATAACAGAATATTTATTACCAATAACTATAAAAAAGATTACATCTGCTAGATCACTGATAAATATCATTTACACTGGGGAGAAAAACTACAAGGCTTTTTTTCTTTCATTTTTCTTTCTTTTGTGGGTTTTTTTGTTTTGTTTTTGTTTTTACATAGAAGTAACCATATCAAACTAAGAAAGGAACACAGCTTGAAATACTGACAATATTTCTCTGGTTAACACCCCTGACTTACACAAGTGGAATCCTGATTATGAGTTACTTAATAAATATATTTTGAAAGTAGTTTAAAAGTTAGCTTGTATTGTTCTGGAAGCAAAACAGACAAGTTACAGGCAAATTTAAACTATCAGGAAGAACAAATTATAAACCTCTGCAGTGCATATTTTTTTTAAAATTTGGGGGAAAGAATGAACAGAAAGCTTCGTTGATGTCTTAATTATTATTGTTCCATCTGAGCATATGTACAAAATTTTACCCCAGTAACAAATAAATCTTTTGTATTAATATATTTTTTCTTTTTAAATTCTGGGCATGGTTCATATACCTTCCCAGACTCTGGTGAACACATGGAGTGGAGCATGGGTGAATCTCTGCATGTGCAAGCTTGTGCAGAAGTTCCTGTGTTTATTGAGAACCGGTATGCACACCCAAGTCAGTGGAGATAGTGCTCAACCCAAGCTTTAATGGAAATGGATGACAGCTTCATGAGAAAATGTCATGATGGACTGCAATCACTGTCACATTTGAATAGGATTTTATCAGCATGCTAGATATGCAGAAAGAGCTTGTCAATAAAATTAAAGCTAAGTCTTCAGAACACTCTTCAGGTGTTGGGTTCTGTTCACTTGTGCTAGCAAAAGGCAAGAGGGTTTGATATCTTAAAATAAAGGAGCTATTTGGAAGTGCATAGAGACACCCAGACATACATATAATTTTTTTTAATGGAAAAAAGCCTTTTTAGGGAAGTATTCACTAGAATGGTATTTATTAGATTTAGCTTATAGCCTATACTCAAACAAAAATCGTAAAAACAGAGATAATTTTGTAATTCAGTTTATGAAACCAAACTATAGAGAATTACAGTTAAACATGTACCTGTCAAAAGAAACATATCTTCCAACACAGAAATCAGCATAATTATGTTTCATTTAAAGTCTCACAGACGCACAGACTTCCTTATTAAAATGGTGCAAATCCAGAATTACATAAATTGCTCAAAGGGTGGAATTTCAAGATTTTCACCGCATTCAGCATCTTGTCCTTTGCTATAGCAACGTCTGGTCTACATTACTATAGGAGCGATCACGACTAAATGGAACAAATGTTCAATTTAATATTTATTAATTTTTTAGAGAAAACTCAAGTACATTCAAATGAAAATCTTTGCTATGCATCATTAAAATATTAGCTAGCTGATACTATGCAGTTGACTTACACAAACCTGAAAGCAAATGCATTGAAAGTTATTTTAGATTTGTCTTTTTTTGTAATTTGATCCAAGAATGAACACCTTACATGTCATTTAAACAAACAAACAAACCACTCTAGCTGCTTTAAATAGCAGCATGATCCATCTTCCTCCTCTGCACATATTGGGGGAAAGGATCCTGAAAAAGTATTCCAGTGAACCTTCCTTTTCCCTCTCCCAGTCCTCCAGGTGGCTGTACTGCTGGCACCAGACATGTATAGCCTGTCCTTCATGTATAGTTATCTAGCAGCCCACTCCATCCCTCCTTGTGGAAGTCGTCTGTGCATCAGGGGCTAGGAATGGCCAATAGATAAGGCCCAGTGCCCACAAGCGCTGCAATAGCAGCAGCAAACCTGACTTGAGGCCATCGGGGAGAGGGGAGGGAAGACTTCATATAATGCCTGTTTGGGATCCTACCTGTGTACAGATAAGCCCAGGTACCTTGAAGAATGGATTGAGGTCAAAAGAGCTTTGCCAGTGCACTCTTGTAAAACTATACAATCAATTTGAAACCAGTGTACTGAGAACTTTCGACCTGGCTATAAAACATTCCAAAACAATGCATTTTTGCAACAGTAAATGCCATCAATAGCATTTCATAGCAGAGGGGGAAAGAAATTAATATCTACATCATATGTTAACTTTAAAAAAGTCTATAAAACACTAAATATATAATAAAAAATATGCATATAAGGACATATGTAAACTGCTTTGGTAACATCGTATTACAGATGTTTTCAGTGCATTGCAGAGTTTCCAAAGAAACTTCAGACAAAGCTATATTTGCTTTGAGGAAGTACTGTATAATGCCATTCCTAGAGAAGCATAAAACATTTTTTTTTCCAGTAGTAAGATGTACTCGAACAACAATATTACTTAGTACTGGGTGTCTTCAAAACAACTAGCTAAATGTTGCTTAGTTATATTATAAACAGGAAGTCCTTTAGATATTTTTTGTCATAAACTTGATCTAGCTGTGAGGGAAATCATTATTGTGCTGATGGCTGACAACGTACAAGCATTTGAAGTAGAAGCGCCCGACCCTCTCACATAGGCATCTAGGAGGAGAAGAAAAAAGAAATCACAAGGTTTGATATCTTGCAGCTTCACATGCATGAACAAGTGACATAACTCGCCTCACTCTTATGGCGCTCCTGCATTCAGTAACATGAAAGAATTACTTTGGCACTGATTCAAATGGAAAGCTTTTGTATTGACAGAAGTGCTAAGTAGCAGGAAGGAAAAACGGGGATTGGGGTTCTAGTCCAGAGTTTCAGTGTGCATGCAAAAATTCTGCATAAAAGTATTCCCAATTCCACTGCAATGCAGTGGCAGCTCCACATGCACAGAAGTGTTTTGACTTACGTTTCTTGCATTTATATCCTGCCTTCCCTCCAAAGAACTCAAGGTGGTTTATATGGTTTTCCCCTATCTTTAGCCTCACAGCCACCTTGTGTGGTACATTTGCTGAGAGACTATAACTAGTCCAAGATAGAGATGCGAAGGCCTGGAAAAAACCCCGGAAAAATGGGGGGGGGCATTCTTTTTTCTGGGGTTTTTTCCAGGTCTTCCCATCTCTAGTCCAAGGTCACACTCAATGAGGTTCTTGGCCATGTAAGAATTTGTACCCAGGTCTCCATAATACATTTGCTGGCATTTTAAGTTGTCACAAGAATTTTTGGTAACAATAATAATAAAATACTGTTATGTGAATGGAAAAACCCTAGTGTACACGGGAGCCCCATATAAACCTGTTGTGCTCTGTGTTGTGGGTAGTAGAGCCAATGACTAAAGCAAGCCTATTCTTTTGCTCCTGACTTAGTACTTGTTATGTGCCTGCAGGAAAACTACTGCAATGCCACAAATAACCTTTAACACAACTCCACTTTTGCAGGGACAATTTCCTGTCATTTTAGGTGCACGGAGGGATAAATTCTAGTGCTTTGTTTGGTCACACAACTGAAAATGCCTATATAAAAAGAATCTCCCATTATGATTGAAAAACCATTAAGCAGAAAAGGAGGGCTTTTTCTTTTCTTTTGCAAGAGTTTATTCAAAGAAGACAGTTACAAAACTGAGAAAGGCACCTTCTGTTCTAACTAAAGAAAATTTCATTCATTGCCAGGGTCAGCCCAAGACATTTTGGCACCTGAGGTGAACCCCAAAATGCCATCCTCCCTACTGGGTAAGATCTGCATCAGGAACAAGCGGAGCTGGGGAGCATCAGTTTAACTTTACCAGACCATTAAAGTGGCAATCAAAGGCCATTGCAAGGCGAGGGGGTGTACTCTGAATCACTCTGGGTGGGAGCAGAGCCCAGAGGGCAGCCTGTGTCATTTCTTTCTTTGGGTGGGAGGAGACCAGGGCCTCCTATTTCCCAAAAGGCCGCTGTAGAGGCGTCATGGGGGATGCTCCTGAGGATGTAGCAGTTACAGCCTCGCAAGTAATGTGTGTCAGTGGGCAATGCATTCCTTGGGGGCTGGATCTGCTGCCTGAGGCGGTTGTCTCATCTTGCCTTATGGGTGGGCCAGCCCTTCTCTGGCTAATTAATGACCATGATACAGATATATAATTTACAAAACTGAAGAATTCTGAATACCGTCATATGGGTGACAGAAGAATCATTAACAAAACTTTAGTATAGTAAGATACTTCCTTGGCACTATTTATTACATTTTAAAAGCACTCTGTAGTAAAGTTCTATGCACAGAGAAACAAATTCAGCCCTGGATCATTCATGGGTGGGGAGACTGAAGTACCCTCACATGGTGAAGAACAACAAGGGCTCTTACTTGATATCTTTGGAATTCGGATCTGCTCGCTGCTACTGCCATCTCCTCCATCACTGAATGGCTTTATTTCTATGATGTAATCTTCATCAAAAGGCAGCGAAAGCTCCACAGATGTTTTGTTAGTTTCTATAACAGATGTGCTGCTTTGTCTATTCCATCTGTATAAAACCTAGACCGTATTTTTAGCCAAGGGGAAGAAAGAAAGGAAGGGGGGAAAGCAAGAGCCTTAGATTTTCTATAGAAGTTGCTTCTATTTCTAGGACTTATATTAATAGCTAATCAACTCTTATAGTCCCTAGAGAAAATATATGCCTTGGCTTTTGAAAAGTCGTGTGGCTTTTTGTCATACTCTTGAGCATTAGGATGCATTACTTTCATTCTCTTGTCGGTTTTGTGAAGTCAGAGCTAGCTCTGCTCTCCTTGAGATCAAAATACTTGGTAGAATTTCACCAAGAATTGCATGTCTTATGATGTTCAAATGCCAATACATCACCGCCATGCTGAGAAGCTGCTGTTGCACCAGTGTCACAATAGCTGCAACTACTCAAGCTCCCCATGCAAGACCTTGCCTGTATCAGATGAGGGTGGAAAGGCAGCCAGGCAAGGAAGTGGACTGAAATATTAAGCAGAATTCCACCCAAGTCAACAGGATGAACAACTCCCTTGCTACTTGCAGCACTGCAGACATTAGTAATATCTCATGGCCTAGGCAGCAAAGCATTAAGCTCATGCTTTGTGGTTCTTTCTGCGATCAAACAGTATATAAATTTTATGAAATGAAATGAGAGGGGAAAAAATGCTCCAAACAGGCATAAGGTGCTGAGTAGGAGGAGGAAGCTAGGCAGCCTACATTGGTGCAAGTGCTAGTGGTGTATTTTGTCCTGGGATTGGGCCACTGCATTTTGAATCATTAAAAACCTGTGCCTCTCAGAGGCACCGGTTGTCAGTTCTTGATCAGTCTGGGTGATGCTTTAATGCCACTGGAGTTGCAGGTGAAAAATAGTCCTAGTTTATTAGATCATCACCCTCATAATATGCACTGCATAGTGTGCATATTTACTGATATCACTGAAGTCTACAGAACATTATTAATGTTGTTTAGATCATAGCCCATGTGAAGTTTATGTCAATTTCAGATCCCACTGAAAAATTTAAATTTTCACAGTTCATTCAGAAGTTAGTTAGTTCAATACAGCAGTACTGCTTAGTGTTTCATAACAATGGAAAATAAGTTTCACTGCCTATTACGTACTTTATATCCTTTCACCTCAGATTCATTATTCTGTGCTTTTACTTGATCCCAGTTCAGTATAATCTTAGAGTCCGATGAATTCCAAATGATGTTTCCAGGTGGTTGACTTGGTGCTAAATTCAAAGTGAAGGAGAGTGAATGTTATTAAGCAGCAAAGTTTTCCTTCCTCTTTCAGTATAGTTTATGAGAGGTTCTTAGTGAACTCTTACATTTGCTTAGTTCAAGAGCTCCTGGAAAACATGTATTCCAAGTCAGCAGCAGAGCTGACATGGCAAAGTATTATGGATGAAAAAGGGAATCAAATGGTAATTCAGTGCACTGGTGACAAGTAGAGGAAGTCCTTGCACTGAACAGAAAGACATTTTTTTTCCCCGTGCCCAGCAAAGATTGCAGTTTTCTGTGTCCCAGTTAATAAAAATAGGGATGCTGGAATATTATGGGTACTCAAAAATGCAGCACAGAGTAGCACCATGTAGGAAAAAAAAGGGGGCTCCCCCCCCACTCACGTGGCTTTTTAGTTGTCACATTGACTACTGGACTAGAAGGTCCCATTCCTGCTGTGTTGTAAGCTTTGACAGCCATGTGGTACAAAACATTGCCTTTCAAGCTGGTAACTTTTGCAAAAGTCTGATTGGTAGCCGTTCTGATTCTTCCAGCCTGCTCTTCCTTATCCCCATGCCTCCAGTATCTAACCTGCACAAATGAAACACAGGCTTTCATATTTAAACTCCACACCTGAATAGCCACTTTACAATTTGAAGTAGCTTAGAACAACCCGGCAAACCCTTATACATTCCCGCCACAGAGTAAGATTTGCTCTACAAAATCTGTGTCTGACCCAAGTTTCTATCATGCAGTTTTCTATTCCATTCCATTCAATTCCGTGTTACGTTTCTTTGTTTCCCATTTAAATAGTAGACAGATCTCTCATTGAGCCAGTCCTGCTTTGGGCCAATCAAATGCCATAGCTCAATTATTTAAGGTTCTGCCCAGATGGAGGGCTCTAATCTGCCACAGTCACATGGCATCTTCTGGTTGATATTGGTCCAAAGCTGCATTGATTGAAGCTAGTGGTAAACTGAGGGCCTAGGGTTTTTTCCTCTGAAACAGGGGTGCCACATTCCTGTGTTGTTGTTGTTTGTGTGTGAAATGACGTAAAGGCCTCAATACTATACGACCTTTACTATAGAAAAAAGAATTGACACAACTTCGTTTTTGGAAGAATTTACAGTAACTTTGTCTGGATTTTTGCTTTAGCAGCTCTCCATAAATCCTGCCATTGCCTCTATTTCAAGAGGCTGCACTGTTTCAAGATAACCCTTCCATGTGTGAAACCAACAGTCAGCACATCTGACCACTGCAGTAGTCTCATTGATGGGCATGGTTATAGCCCTTAATAATAATGATAATAATAATAATAGTTTATGACATTTATATACTGCCCTATACCCGCAGGTTTTAACATTCCGCTTAACTGCACTGATCATAGAATGTTGTGTTCTTCACAGGTCCAAAGAAGGGGTTCCCTAACAGGAGCCTTTCCCTATTTTTATTTCTAGTTCTATGACTTTAAATCTTGTATTAAAGAAGAAAGACATCTAAAATATAATATGCACAATAAACTGGCATTTAGGCTTGCACTGTGGCTGCGAGTTGTGTATTTCTTACTATACGGTGGAGCAAATAGCTGATAGTTCATGGAATTTGCAGAAACTTAAGGCCTGCACGAGGGGCCCCCACCTTGCATTGCAACACACTAAGACTGACAATCACATGTTATTACTGCTCACTGATACCAAGTGGATTAGCATATGCTTAAGTGCATTGTTAAGAGGGGGGAGGGAAGGGAGATTTTCAGTTTAAAACAAAGTATTTAAAACAAAGTATACTGTTTCAGACTAAACAAGGATTGTTTCAGGCTAATTATGTCCCTTATGTTCTTACCTCGTAGCCCTGTATCCTTCCTTTGCTCTGGCTCTCTGGGAGCAAGGTCCAAAATACTTGTACTTCTGAAGCAGAAAGGCTTTTGGCAAAGACATGGGTTGGAGCTCTGGTGGGTTCTAAAAAGAAGAAACAGTGGCTAGATGTAGATTCACCTTTGTGGTCATAGCTGTTCTTCATCCTACCTAACCAATGGATAAAGTCAGCTTTGACTCTGTGGATGCCTTAAGGCAAGTCACTATATCTCACCCTCAGATATAAATTAGACATTACTACAGATGTTGGTCTGCCAAGACAGGCCCATGACTAGCACCAGAATTTCACTATTTTGCAGGAATGCATGTTTTTGATAGGTTGCAGAAATAATGTGAATTTGGTGCTCTTGTGCAATAAGATAAAATAAAATAAAACCCCTCAATTTTTTGTGGTGCTGCAAAAATGCAATATAAAATATGGGATAATTGTGTCACATAGCCTCCCCGTAAACAAAGCTGAATGAACAGTCAACTAACAATGATGTTGTAATAACTCTGTGCAAATTCTTTGCCAGCAAGTTGGGGTGAATGCTCAATAAACAGGACGTTGGAAGAATCCTCCGTCTCTCCCGACCAGCCCCAGCAATACAAAGTGATACTCAGCATATGACATAATAATATCATCATGAAGAGATATTATTTCCTGTTCTCCAGAAGGAACAGCCAGTGAACCAGAGTGTGATGATTATGTCTTGAGCATCCCTAGATTTGTATGAAGAGAGGAGCTGAAGAAGAACAGCCCAGGAATAAGGTAGGATAGGGTAGCTTGCATGTGTCTGTACACATTGGGGTGAGGAACCTTTGTAGACAAGTGGGCCAGAGCATTACCTCCTCACTCCTCCTGGGCTACGTTTGACAGGTGAGTAGGCCGCTCACCTGTCAATCACTGGACATCATGCAACCTTTTGGCCTGCGATTTTTTGCAGTGCTTTGAACTGGGCTTTTCAAAAGCTGACAGTTGTTCTCAGATCTTCACAAGCACCATTCAAAGCGCTGTGGAGAACAGAGCTTTGAGAACTGCTATCTTGCCTTGCACTTTGGAAGGGGTTTTGCAGGCACCACTGATTGGTGGTGCCTGCAAGCATCCTTTTGGCTGAGCCCTGCCCTTAGCCTCACCCCTGGCTGAAACGGCCTCTCGGGTCAAATGGGGAGGCATGACAGGCCTAATTAGGTCCCCCACCCCGGCATACCTGTTATGGAGACCAGATTCAGCTGTTCAGATTCAGTAGGTGAAGGGAGAGCCAGGATTGTGGTGGCAGACCTGAGTTGGTAGTTCTATGTGCCCAGAGGCAGCCTGTGCCCAGTCTGCACAATCTATCCCACAATTGTGTGGGATAGATGCAACATCAGTGCGCACACAGCTTGTATGCATGTAGCCTCTGCTCATGAAGAATTGTCTGCATGTGGAAGTTACAAGAGGGCCAGCGACTGATGACTGTATCCAGCTATAAGCCTGTTAAGCTCCACATTTTCAAACCTGCCTGGCAGCAGCTCTCCAGCCTCTTAAGCAAAGGCCTTTCCTAAGAATTATAACCCAAGGCCATTTAATTTGAGATAGCAGTGATTGGATTTGGGTCTTTGCATATATGAAACCTGTAAATGTCATGCTCTACAACTGAGCTTTGGCCCTTTCTTTTGTGTGGAATATCAATTCTGCAACAAATAATTCATGAAAAGATTTCTTTCCTAAATTTATTCAGTGTGCCATGTACTGATAACACTTAAGATAAATCAGAGCAGTTTCCAATTGGAGGATACAGTGGTACCTCAGTTTACAAACTTAATCTGTTCCGAAACTGTTCTTAAACCGAGGCGCACTTTCCTTAATGAGGCCTCCCACTGCCTTTCCACCATTCAGATTCCATTCTTAGACTGAGGTAAAGTTTGCAAACTGGGACACTACTTCTGGTTTTGCGGAGTTCGTAAACCAAATCATTCGTAAACAGGACTGTTCTTAAACCAAGGTCCCACTGTATTCATTCCTGCTAAATATTAGTACATTCCTTTAGAGAAGACATACATGTAATGGAAACTATCAAAATCCTTGTTATATATTGCAAACAGATAAGATGCGTTATTGCATCCCTAGTATAATCTCGGAGTACAGTGGTACCTCGCAAGACGAATGCCTCGCAAGACGGAAAACTCGCAAGACGAAAGGGTTTTTGGTTTTTTGAGTTGCTTCGCAAGACGATTTTCCCTATGGGCTTGCTTCGCAAGACGGAAACGTCTTGCAAGTTTGTTTCCTTTTTCTTAAAACCGTTAATACAGTTGCGACTTGACTTCGAGGAGCAACTCATAGAACGCGGTGTGGTAGCCTTTTTTGAGGTTTTTGAAGACTTTGGTGATTTTTGAAGCTTTTCCGAAACCGTGCTTCGCAAGACGGAAAAATCGCAAGACGAAAAAACTCGCAGAACGAATTTATTTCGTCTTGCGAGGCACCACTGTAGAGTTAAACTCAATATCAAAGCCTGGTACTGGACATACCGCAATCCTGATAAGAGCCCCAACTATCCTGTGAGGAAGAAATGACACAGCAGACAATAAGGGACAGTCCTCTCCACTCCCTGTTACTTTCATCAACTAGGCCAGGATCTCCTTCTCCCTCCTGGAGATTTTAGTGCCAATTGCTTGTGACAAAAGGCAGCAGGAGGACCACTGCTCTCAGGCTGAGAGCATCAACCTGTGAGCCTACCTGCTGCCACAAAAGCGGCAAGAAGCTGGAAGATCCAAGCTAGGCTCCAGAAGGCAAAGTTTCCCTATAAGGTCAGCAATTTCTGGCTGCATTAGGGACCTTTCCAGGAAGGCTGGGTCGATTGTGAGCAGCTTGTTGCTATGCAAGCTGGTCATTATAAAAACTTTATATCATCAAGAATGGAGCCTGAGTTTTCTCATTTCCCTCTTTAATGTCATGCATTTCCCCTCTTCTTTTATGTCATGTATTTTTAGACTGTAAACCTCATGGCAGGGTATGTTATGTTTATATATACTTAAACTATTCTGTAATCCTTTCCAGCTGAAGAGCTGGGTATAAATTCTTGAACAGACAAATGAATGAATGAATAAAATTGCACAGTGCCATTAAACATCAAAATTAGAAATTAAGTTTGCAAAGCGTTTAGACATAAATGGCAACTTAAATGAATGACCTAAATCTTCTTCAAAACAAAAAAAATTCCTTCCAGTAGCACCTTAAAGACCAACTAAGTTAGTTCTTGGTATGAGCTTTCGTGTGCATGCACACTTCTTCAGATTTTCTTCTTCAGATTTCCGTGTGCATGCACACGAAAGCTCATACCAAGAACTAACTTAGTTGGTCTTTAAGGTGCTACTGGAAGGAATTTTTTTGTTTTGTCTATGGCAGACCAACACGGCTACCTATCTGTAACTAAATCTTCTTGATGCACAATATTAATGTTAATATGATTATTACTAATTTGGAGTAGAATATATTCTAAAGCTGGACACATGCTTATTTATTGTAAGCAGACCTGGACATCAGTAGAATGTGCCAATAATATATAGATGCCTTCTGTAAATGGCCAGCTTGTCACATGCAATAGATTACTAGGCTGGACTTTACCTTCATCAGCTGAATAAACAATTGTGACGGGGCTGAAAGAACCTTCTCCTTTGTTGTTGTACACGCCCACTTTGACTTCATATGGAGAAAACGGCGGTAAACTCTCATTCCGGAACACGTATCTGGAGGCATCGGGAGAAACCACTACCGTCTGCATCCAACTTATTGTACCAACTGGACGGAAGGCAACCACGTAACCAAACCCACCTCCATTTTGTAACTCTTCAGGCACTGTCTACAACAAGAAAAGAAATAATGGGAACAGCCCGATGTGTAGGATGAATTTACAAAGAGGCACAATAAAAATGGTCTCCAAGAAATTTAACGGATCCATATAGTGCAATTTGGAAATACACTCTCTGGCAGAGGAAATTAAACACTCAACTTGAAAAGCATTTTATGTTTCTGTGCTAATTTGTTCCAGCTATCTGATGTGGTTTTTATGGTCTATTTGCGCCTATGAAAACATGACTTATTAAAAATAGCATAAGAAGAAGAACCAACTGCAGCCTAGATATTATGGACAGCTAATAATCAAAGCTGAAGCATGTAAATGCCATCTGCAAGGCAGCTCTTAGAATCTGAATTTATCTAAATGGACTTAAATCCAAATAAGGACAGAATTACACATCCATCTGGAGATTTACTTTCTGTTTTTGCTACCACCGTCTTCACTAATAAACAAGAAGCCACTTTATAAGCTGTGTTTGCCACTTCCTTTAGATCTGAGTCATAAACATGTTATGAGTGAGATGCTCTAATATTTGTGTAGTGGGAAAGGAAATGGGTTTTAACAACTCTGGGGAAATCAGTGTAGGAATGTGGTGTACAAGCATATAATAAAAGCTTCTTTGCAGAGGTTACAGAGAGTTTCTGACTTCTTAAAAACCGTAGTGTCGCAGTTAGGAAAAGCAAGTGTCTGAAATTTTCCAGTCCTACCCCTTTGTATTCTATAGGAACCACAGTTTTAAATCCACACTGGCACTTTCGGTTACATGGGATATTGCCCAAACTGGGTGTACAATAGAATGTTCACAACTTAACTGTACCACAAGCAAAGACTCATAAAAATGGACCAATTGCCTCACTCGGCTGTCTGCTATTAACTAATCATGTAAATAGTCAATTAAATCTATAGTACTGTATGTACCCAAAGGCCTTCACAATGGACAGAGGGCAGAAGTAAGACATTCCTCAACATCACACAACATAAGTCTACTTTACAACGTAAAATTATAAAATCACAATGCATTAATATAACTGGAGTGAAGCTTCTTAGCTGGCAGAACCCATTTGCGTTTGAAAACTACAATTGAAGCATTTCATATCAACCCCCAGTTCCTCTTTTTTTAGAGGCAGTAAATGCAATGATTTTAAAGTGGTTCAGATTACTACACCACAAAGACTCTCCATGACTTTCACCAATGTCCCTCTCTGTTCCCTTGTGTGCTGTTCCTACCTTACCAGATGCAGCGAGTAGCTAGTTTTGAAGCAAGAGGGCACAACCTACTTTAAGTATGCTGTGAACTTCTTTGTGGCAGGGAGTGCATGTTGAAGTGGGATGCAGACTAGCAGGCAAATGCTGTCTGATGTCAGAACCAGTCACATCACCACCAGGTCACTGGTGCACATATTGCAATTATCTTGTCTTGCATATTTTGAGCTTTAGCAAGGAAGCTAAAGAAATGAAAAACCGCATTCCAGGAAATGTCTGTATTCAGAACGCCACTTAAGCACGTTCTCAAGTTCGGCTGAAACCAATTGGATTAGCATGTGCTCAAGTGCTATATTTGAATTGGAAGAGCAACATGGTTTTCTCCATTCTTATGGGTTCTCATGGAGGGGGAGATTTTTGTGCACCTACAGTCAGATCTTAAATATCTCTGATTTATACTTCTTGAAAATTATGGGTTATAGTTTAGACACTACATTTTTAAACATTGTTTTTGTTGAAGGCATGGAGCAAAACTAATTAATTCCAGGAAGGGTGAACTTCAGCACAGTAAGGAATGATACAAGTATTGGAAAACAAATATATTGCTTTCTAGTACATCTCAGAAGCAACAACGTGCTTGTCAAGCAATCCATGCATTTTTCCTTCTGTAAGGATGTGGAAAATGCAAGTCAGAAATTAGAGTACTTTTCCTGACTGTAACTCACAGGGTCTGTTTGAAATTGCTCAGCAGGTAGGGCAAACATGTATATTATGCATGCTTTCTCTTCCCCCCAAAATTATAATTTGGTGAGAATTCTTTGTTGGAGAACCCTAACCCATTCCCTTATTCTAAAACGTCGGCTTACGTTTTACACTGGGAAGAGAGAACAATTCCAAAACCAGTTTGGGTATGTAGCAAGGGTGTGCTGTCTCTGCCCTGTGCTTCTCCTTACTTGGCATGTTTGAGCCCTGCAGCCCATTCAGAGATCGTCTTTCCCTCTTCAAATTAGGAAGGAAGGAGGCAGACAGACAGGAGTGACATGTTATTTATAACAATACTATGTCCCTTTGCAAAATGCTGCCTGATTCAACACCCTCAAGTCAGTCTCTGGTAGGTTTGGCACAAAAAGGGAAACAGTTCGTTTCCCTCCCCTTTCTTGCCCCGTAAATTCACAGCTCACTTACCTCCCAGGTTATGACCAACTCAGACTTGGTACCACCACCTCCACTGACATTAGCTGGAGTGACTTCAGGAACTATAGAAAAGGGGAGAAAAGTGACTATTACAAGGGAAGGATAGCTTGTTTTGTGTTTATACAGGGAAGATATATTGGTGTCTACACTTTTAGCAAAGATTTAAAACAAAAACAATTTCTGAGTTTTCAGGAGAAATTGAAAATAGAGTGGTACCTTGGTTCTCAATCGTCTTGGTACTCAAACAACTTGGAACCCAGACACTACAAACCGAGAAGTTAGTGTTCCAGTTTGCAAACTTTTTTTTTTTGGAAGCTGAACGTGCTCTGTTTTGAGCGTTACGATTCCGTTCTGAGTGTTATGCTGAGGTCTGTCTGTTTTTGCCGTTTATTTTGCCTTTTTGTGGCTTTTTTTGTTTGTTTTTGTGACTGTGTGGAACCCAGTTCATCTACTGATTGATTGATTGATTATGCGACTGCAGTACATTGTTTATTGCTTTCATTTTATAGATCAGTGGTCTCATTAAAGAGTAAAATTCATGTTAAATTGCTGTTTTAGGGGTTGTTTTTAAAAGTCTGGAACGGATTAATCCATTTTGCATTACTTTCTATGGAAAAGCGTGCCTTGGTTTTGGAACGGATTTCCAGAAAGGATTAAGTTTGAGAACCAAGGTACCACTGTATTTTTTTTTAGATAACCTGCTGTTGCCAGATTTCCCCCCCCCATTTTTCCCATTTTAAAAAATAATCTTTCACCATTAATAAGATGAGTTTGCCATCTTTATGTAACATTCCATTTATGTGTTGTGTCACTCTTAAATATTCTGTCACTGAGATTTCAAAGCAAATTTCTTTTGGAAGTACCATTTTATAAAATGGAGAGGGGAGGGAATTCTAAATATCTCAATGTCTACGTTGCAATGTAAAAGAGAAGCATTCATCAGAATATTGATTAAAATGCTTTGCAGCAGGTTTTTATGATGCACTTTGAGAGCACGTAATACATAATTTTGAAAATGAGATGGCCAAACAGCATATTTATGAGCCAATTACCTGTTGCAAATAGTTTTAAAAATTATTTCCCCTATAACACATTTCATTTATTTATAATCATGAAACTGATTGCTACTAACTTAGGTCTACAGCTTTTGGTAAATATGCAAGCTGACAATAAGGCTGAGTCAACAGTAGCTAATTTAATGAACTAGATATTTTATATGTCTTTGGCTTCCCTTGCAGATATTAGAGAATTTAAGGTCGTACAGGCAACAACTAGTACCCATTTGTTTACGTTCAATTCTAAAACAACACTGTAGACATTATTATCCTTTTTTCATGTCAACATTTGAGTGTTTTTTCTACAATCAAATGGTATATAAATTCTTAAAAATAATATTTGTACCATGGAAGATTACACAGTATTGAAATTGTTTGATAGGACCTTTGTCCCTCCAGCCCTACAAAGCATATCTTTTGTGGGGACGGGGTGGGGGGCACAGGGGGAAGAGAGGGAGAGGAAGGTCTTTTGCACAGACAAAAGATGTTTCACTCACAATAGCTGTTTTCAACCTAAAGTAATACTGCAAGTGTAGCATGGGACATTCCACAGGGACTCTATTTTGCATTATATTCCATTTGTTAATAGAGGCACCCCAGATTGCTGCACCACATAATAAGCAATATACAATGTTAGCAATAAAAGCTTTTATCATCGGTTCTAACAAATGATGGCTTTTAATATAACTTGAGAGTCTTTAAAGGTCCCAGTGAATAGGCAGATTAAATTTTAATTCCATCCAAATGGGTGTACGTAGGGTGTTTTCACAAAAATGAAGCCCTAGCACTTACGTGAGCAACACTCTTTTATTATATGACCACACAGGATCTCATTTAAGTCACTGATGCCTTTTGGCAAACACTAACACAATAATGTTTATAATAAGTTTAGAGATTAATCGCCTTATACCAACTTGGAATAATGAACGGTATCTTCTTGAGGATGCTGGAAAGTATATCTATGAGGGGGAAACTACAGTTCCCATGATTCCCCCCCTCCAAGGGTGATTGAAAGCTATGGTGCACATATAAAGCCTCAGTCAGCAAGGCAGTAATTGGGGGTGATGGAAGTTCTAGCCCAAAACCTCAGGAGGGCCTTCAGCTTGGGAAGAATGGGATATACGGGCTATGGCACTCTATAAGGTGTCAAAAAGGAAACACTGTCCGTACCTCCATGCTTCCTGTTATGAGCATGAGGAGGTGTGGACACAGCCTTAGTAAACTCTTAAAACTAAAGTTTGCTCAGTTAAATGCATTGCTCTCTTATGCAGACTATTTTGACCACGTAAAAGTAGTTATTCAGTGGAAGTGTCAAAGACTGATTGAAATGTCAAATGCAGCATTTCAGCTTCTACTTACGAGCCTCTTCAGTTCTCCGTTTCTCTGATGGTTTGCTTGGCTCTCCAATCCCAATAAGGCTGGCGGCAACTACCCGGAATTCATACTCAACCCACGGGTTTAAACTCACTACTGTTGCCGTAAATGTGTTTCCATCTATGACGTCGGGCACTAGGCGAGAAATGTAAGAATGCCCAATGGTTACCAAATAATGAAATATTTGGGTTAAGAACAAAATAAGGGGGGGGGGGCGGGACAGAATGTAGACTCTAGAGATAAGCCATAGTTGGCTGCTCTTTTTTCTGTTTGCTAAATTTGGTAATCTCTGCTAATTTTGCTAATCTTTGCTAAATTTGGGGTGAAAAAATATTGAGAAAGACATATAGATATAGATGTAAATGAGTTAATGATATGTTCCATTAAGTCACAAGAAGAGAACTGGATCAGACCAACGCTGCTTCTTCCCCATAACCAGAAATCCCATGGGCTCACGGAAAACGGTTAAAGCAAGTTTCAGTGGTCATATTCTGCATGTTCTAAGATGTCTAGTTACCTGTGTTGACTGCTTGCCATCCCACAGAAAATGGGGTCCTTGCTTGAACAACGTATGTTGTAATGGGACTGCGATTATCTGCTCCTGGCCTCCAGGATACCTGAGCTGTAGTGTCTGTGATTTCATCAATTGTCACGGCTTCGGGCGGACCTGGTGGACCTGTTATGAAACACACATAACACAAGTTTCAAATATCCTCAATGAGACATACCCTGCATGTAAAATATCTCACGTCAAGTATTAAGAAGTAACAAGACTTTCCCTTTCATCTCAAGGTTTAAGTTAATAGTTTTCAGTATGCAGAGAAGTCTTTTAAAACAGATCAAACAATGACAACCCTGGGATACTTTGGACAATATATATTTAATTTGGACCACTTATAGTTCCCTCCAGCAAGAATGAATTTCCATGATGTGCACTCTTTTTTTCTGAGTTTATTTTCGCACAGATAATCAAACATTAACCACAGTGGCTAAAGCTACGTATTTTATAGTGGATTAAATACATGCATAGTTGCTTTTGCACATGGAATCTGCTCTTGGACACTCACTTTTATCTCCTATAGATAGTGAGATGCTGACTACTTACACATTTTAAAGAAAAAAGCCTTTAGGGAAAGTAGCGGATAGGGACTCCAAAATTGCATTTTGCCATAGTTAAAAATATGAGGCTTGTGAGGCAAGGCCTAGAAACTTTGCGAGATAGCAGCTTCAGGATTATGTTAAATAAAAGAATGTCAGTGCAATCCTATGCACATTTACTCTGAAATAATCTTCAATATGTTCATCACGTGCAATTAAACATTTCAGAGATTGAAATACCATGATTTAGTCACCTATTTTTAATGCCTAACCTTCTAGCACTTGAATTTCCATTCAAACAGTTCAGTAAAAAAAGTCACAGCCTGCTTTGCAACCCCAGATTAAATTAAGTCATTTTAAAACCATAATTTGAAATGTAACCACTCCAGTATAACTTTACCCCTCAGCACTCTATGAAATCAGTTCTGAATAAGGTTGTACTGTGTGCCTCCAGCAAGAATACTTAGTAGTCCTTGCATTCACAGCTGGTCAGTCTTCCTAGATCTGCCAGTTCAAAGGCAGAATGGTGGGTTATTATAGCGTTACCTAGCATGATGTACTTTACAAATTACATCTCCCTAATGGTCAGTAGATGGAACAATTGATTATAGGGAAATATGAGACACCTCAAACAAACTATACTTTCATTTCAAAGCTTTCTCAATTGAATTCTTACTGAAATCAATTTTGATAAGTTTATCTTGTTCTGCAATGGATAGTTTAACTTATTTATTTATTTATTTATTTACTTACTTACTTACTTAACTGACAGCTAGAACAATATTTCTGGATGAGATTGCCAAAAATAGGATTTTTATCGAACAAGCAAGACTATATAACATCTAAAATGGTTGTTTGTGCAGCAACAGCCAGAAACAATCATAAAGTGTTTTGTTTTTTTGAAACGATATAGTTTGCAATAACAGAGACTCTGATCTAAAGCTCTACATTCTGTGATAGCCCCATTCATAATGGAATTTTCTGTTTTGTAGTTTAAGCTCTGCTGCCAGCCTACGTTTAACAGTAGATGCAAAGCCTATGGTTTAAAATAAAAAATGGACTGAGACTGAAGTCCTAAACACACTTACACAGCCACACTTATTTGTGAGTACGCATGTGGAGAATTATGCTGTGAGGATGCAGTCTTCACACACCTAGGAGCAAGCCCAAATAAACACGTATAGGATTGCACTGTTTTGACTTTGCTATTTTTAAAGGTTAGAAATGGGGTATAAAACAACTGCCTGAAGACAAAACCAAGAACCTTGGAGGCCTGGTTCTAACTGATCCTGCTTCAAAACTTTCAAAGCAAGACAGTGCCTCATATTTAGTGCATGGGGCAGTGAAGATTCTCAAATTGTTAAAATGGAATGTCTGCAGTAGAGTTCATCAGCCGAGTGCCCACGTAGGCTTACACTGGTGTCCCTGGACATGCCCCGTCCCAAACTCTGAGCTTTCATTTTTTTCTATTCCTCATAGAAAAGAAAGTTAGGAAGCAAAATGTACATGCACCCTTGCAAGTAATTTCTATGAAATGAGCCACCTTGGCTGCTTCCACCTGTCAGTTTCTGGACATAGCTGTGATTGGTAAGTGAGTTGTTTACACATCAGACACACTCTGGGGTCCTAAAGAGGTGCAGTTTTCATCTCCCCTTTAGTGCACTTTTCCTGCTCTTGTCTTATTTTCTAGTTTTTAGAGTCTCTGCAGCTTGTCCTTCCTTTTCCCCTAGTAATCAGGATAAATCTATCCTGTGGTTGGGTACATCTGAGATCAGGTAGTCTTCTGCAAATATTACTACACAATATATGTGGATGATGTTAAATAATAGCAACTCCCTCTAAAAAGAAATACAAAAACTTTGCAAGGAGGCTTAGTCCAATATGACATATCATGGATGCTTTTGTTGAGATTCCAGAAGAAGAAGAAGAAGAGGAGGAGTAGGAGGAGTTTGGATTTGATATCCCACCTTTCACTCCCCTTAAGGAGTCTCAAAGCGGCTCACAATCTCCTTTCCCTTCCTCCCCCACAACAAATACTCTGTGAGGTGAGTGGGGCTGAGAGACTTCAGAGAAATTTGACTAGCCCAAGGTCACCCAGCAGCTGCATGTGGAGGAGCAGGGATGCGAACCCTCTTCACCAGATTACGAGTCCACCGCTCTTAACCACTGCACCATGCTGGCATTGCAGGGGGTTGAACGAGAAGACCCTTGGGATCCCTTCTGACTCTACAGTTCTATAATTCTTATGTCCTTCCTTTCAAAGAGTTTTGCACTCTGCTACAAAGGGCTCTGTAAACTTCCTCTGGTGGTTGCATTTCATAGGTGGTAAACACGTTTGCAGTATATCTCACCATTTGGGTTCAGTACAGTTGTACCTTGGTTTTTGAATGCCTTGTGACTTGAACATTTTGGCTCCCCAACGCTGAAAACCTGAAAGTGAGTGTTTCGGTTTGCAAACTTTTTTTGGAAGCCGAACGTCTAACGCAGCTTCCGATTAAGTGCAGGAAGTTCCTGCAGTCAATCAGAAGCCATGCCTTGGTTTCTGAACAGGTTTCGGAAGTTGAATGGACTTCCGGAACAGATTCCGTTCGAGAACAAAGGTACGACTATACTAGTTTTAAGGGATAAAAGTCGTAACTCTCCTTCTCAAGGAGCCATACAGAGTGAGTCTGATACTTCCAAATTCTCCTATATTTGGGAATGCAACTTTGATCATAACAGTTTTGCCGTGTTCTGTCCTGAAAGTGTTTTCTGGCCTCCCAAGAGGAGTGTCCATAGATGTGCTCTCCCACACGGCTTCATGGTGAGAGAAGCCCCACCTGCTTGACCAAGCAAAACCTCTTCCCCCAGGTTTAGAGATACCTGCTAAAATATTCTGCTTTGACCTACATAAAATGTTTACTAGTTATTTTTTTTAAAAAATGCGATATAATCCTATCACCAGAATCCAAAAGACAGGTTGTTAGAGAGATGAAGCAGAAGGTCATAGACGCTTGTGCTACCTTAAAACCTAGCTGATTTATTCGGAGGTGAGTTTCTATTGGCAACAACCCAAGAAATTCAGAAAACTTATGCTAAGCCGAAGTGGAGAGTGATTAAAAGTATCACAGATCTCTTAGTTTTTGTCAACTGTCATGTATTTCAGTCAAATTCAACGATGTAGTGACAGTAATAATTTTAAAGTGCAGAAGAAACAGAACCACAGCTATAACTAGTTTCCCCCCCTGTTCAAGTCAAGTTCTAAGGTAGAGTAATTGACTAGGCAAGCCATGTGCCTTTCCATCACTAGCTGTTATCAGCAGGTGATGTAAAAGCTTGATTTACTGCTCTTTTCTCCTCTCCAGCAGATGGTGCAATGTGCAAAGAAAATTCCTTTTGGAAGAAGGAGGGGTGTGGGGGGGGAAGGAAATTCAAAATGCAGGAATAAAGTCATTAGCTGAATTTGCAGGCTCCTTGCAATATATTCTCCTCTTAACAGACTCCTAGCAAAATTTAAGATTATTCCCTACAAAATGATGCATATACTTTCGGTTAAGAACTTCAAGTATTACGGATTTTAAATATTTAGCAGCCTAATGTATTGGTATTTAAACTGCTCATTGGGCCTCGTCCTCATTAAATGGAGTGTGCATTTAGTGCAGCAACAATATATCTTGCTCCCATGAGGGAACAGCTGATAAACCACTGCTGTCTTCTTAAATGGACAATGATCACGTTTCCTATTCTCTCTCCTGGCAAGAGGAAGATGGCTTCTTCTATGAATTTCAAGAGGTTTATGTACGGACCACAGCGTTCATATTCAGAAGCACAACACACTTGATCAAAAGCATGAGATAATTAAGGATGATATCGGCAACTTAAATCTATATAAGGTAGTGAGCTGAGAATAAACTGAGGGAACTTTCCTTGCTTAAATGGCTCAATGTGACCACCATAAGGTAAAAGTAAAGGGACCCCTGACCATTAGGTCCAGTCGTGGCCAACTCTGGGGTTGCGGCGCTCATCTCGCTTTATTGGCTGAGGGAGCCAGCGTACAGCTTCCGGGTCATGTGGCCAGCATAACTAAGCCGCTTCTGGCGAACGAGAACAGTGCACGGAAACACAGTTTATCTTCCCACCGGAGTGGTACCTATTTATCTACTTGCACTTTGACGTGCTTTCGAACTGCTAGGTTGGCAGGAGCAGGAACCGAGCAACGGGAGCTCACCCCGCCGCGGGGATTCGAACCCCCGACCTGATCAGCAAGCCCTAGGCTCTGTGGTTTAACCAACAGTGTCACCCGCGTCCCGATGGCCATCATAATGTATTATAAAACAAGTCCTTTGATATGAGAGGGATCCTCAGACAACCTGCTATTCCAACAAAACCTAATGTGAATGTGCTTCAGTCAGGGGTGTCCCAAATCACTCCCTGTTTTCAGGACTCTCTCGTTGCCTGTGCAGAGGCTCCTTTATCTGATTCCTTGCCATCTAGAGTATGCTGTAATGGGGGCGGGGGCGGGGGGGAAAAGAGAGACACCGCTTTCCAGTTGGCTTTCTTGGTTGTGGTGCCTGAGCTGTGGAACACCAAACAATCCTGATTAGCTATTTCACTCTGTTTGCCCTGCAGCAGGGAGTGTGTGGCTTTTCGGGTAGTAACTTGGTCTGTGCTGAATGAAATCCCCTCTGGATTTTCCCTCCTCTTCTCTTAGCATTCTGTCTCTTGCTTTATACAGTAGGTCGGGGTGGGGAAGCTCTTGCTTGTAAGCCTAAGTCATGGGTAGGCAAATTAAGGCCTGCAGGCCAGATCAGGCCTGATTGCCTTCTGGATCTGGCCTGCGGACAGTCCAGGAATTGTCATGTGGATCACCAGCACACGTGTTCTTTCCCTCTCCCTCACACAGCGGCAGCTCCTCCCTCCCTCCTCCTGGCTTCTCCCTGCCTTGCCTAGAGGAGGAAGGGGGCTGGGCTTTGTTGGTGCCAGCACCAGCAGAGCTCGAGCAGCCGCCATTTTAAGCAGCCCCTCTCCGGAGCCCTTTCACTTGCTGCTCATTGCCCCTCCGCCACCGCCAGCCCCTGCCACTCACAAGACACAGGTAAGCAGCCAACGGGGCTCATGGTGCTCTTGCATCATTTTTTCCCCCTTCAAAATATAGTCCGCCCCCCCCCCACAAGGTCTGAGGGACAGTGTACCGGCCCCCTGCTGAAAAAGTCTGCTGACCGTGGCCTAAGTGGTCCTGTGAGTTTATATCAGCCAAGGTGCACCCGCCCACCCTACACCTGATGCCTGGTGTGGAGTAGGAAAAGACATGGCTCTACCAAAATCCGGGTTCATTGAGCCTTTGAAAGAGCTACCATGGCTATCAGTGTTGCAAAAGCAGAATGCTTTGCCAGCCCTTCCAGTTGGCTGATTGACAGCACTGTGCTGTTGTCCTCATTGTTTGATTTAAATTTGTATGGGCAAAGGAAAATGGCTTACACTGAGCATTAAGGTAAAGGGACCCCTGACCATTAGGTCCAGTCGTGACTGACTCTGGGGTTGCGGCGCTCATCTCGCTTTACTGGCCGAGGGAGCCGGCGTACAGCTTCCGGTCATGTGGCCAGTATGACTAAGCCACTTCTGGCAAACAAGAGCACTGCACGGAAACGCCGTTTACCTTCCCGCTGGAGTGGTACCTATTTATCTACTTGCACTTTGACGTGCTTTCGAACTGCTAGGTTGGCAGGAGCAGGGAGTGAGCAACAGGAGCTCACCCCGCCGCGGGGATTCGAACCGCTGACCTTCTGATCGGCAAGTCCTAGGCTCTGTGGTTTAACCCACAGCGCCACCTGCGTCCCACTCAGTGTAATGCGTACACTGAGCATTACTGTGACATAAAGCAGCAGACAGGTGAATGGCCCTGCCCAGCTATCAAGGCTGGCCTTGTGGAATGAGTTTGGTGAGGATCTGGGCCACCAATAGGTTCCAGCTGTGGCTGCTGCACTTATGCTCCTGTCTGATTGTTTTTATCATGATATCCTTATCTGCCTTGAAGGTTTCCACTATAAAAGGCTGCAGAAAAATGCTTGAATAAATACTGTCACAGTGCAGGCTGTCTGGGGGAGGGGGAAAAAAACCCATTTCCAATAGATGGATGTCATGAAACGTTGGTCCAAACTACGGAACAAATATATTATATCACTACAGTTGCCATAGCTCCCTCAAAAGAATCCTGGGATTTTTAATTTAATGAGTAAAAAGGGTTCCGTATTAAGTATATTTAGTCTTTTCCACAGCACTACATTTCCCAGGGTTCGGTGAGAAGACATAATTATCATTCAACTATTTTAAGTCTCTCCTCTGTGTTATGCCCAAAGTCACAATTCTGTAAGCCTTTCTTGTTTTCTGAAAGGCATCATAGGAATAAATTCTAACTAAAATTAGTAAATCTCATATCAAATGTTCACTCCGTAACAACAGCCAACGTGAAAACCAGCAATAGCAGGAAATGTATTGGGGCACTCTGTATCTTGAAATCTGATTTCATTTTAGAGAGCAGCTGTCTCACTGTCCCAAATCAAAATTGCTGTAACATTTCCAAATAGTTTGAGAACTGAATTTATTTTCTGGTCCCATGCCAACACTGGACAATGATAAAATTGCTGCCAGTTTAGCTTTCAACTTTCAGACTCCAAATCTATCTCTGTTCTAATCACCTGTAACTGGATCAGTAACTGAGCTTGGCTACTTGAATGATCCAGGTGCAACACCCCTTTGACAGCTGCTGAGCTGAAGTGACCAATGCATGACGTGAAGGGGACTGGTTTTTCATTTTCTGTGTAAGCCACCACCATTTGCAATGTACAGTGGTATTTCAGGTTACATACGCTTCAGGTTACAGACTCCACTAACCCATAAATATTACCTCGGGTTAAGAACTTTGCTTCAGGATGAGAACAGAAATCGTGCTCCGGCAGCGCAGCGGCAGCAGGGGGCCCCATTAACTAAAGTGGTGCTTCAGGTTAAGAACTGTTTCAGGTTAAGAATGGACCTCCAGAACGAATTAAGTACTTAACCTGAGGTACCACTGTATAGCAGCTGTTTGCCAAGCATATTTAGCTGAAGTGGCCATTGCGCAGCACAAAAAAACCCATTGGTTTCTTTTCTTTTCTGCAAGCCATCACTTGCACATTATTGCACATGTGCATTGCTGAGCAATGGTTAAAACTAGGGAGAAGTGAAAGAACATATGTAATTTTCAACCCCATCCTGCCCAACTAAGTGACCCACTGAAGTGTCACAGGAAGGCAGTATGTGCCTATGCAAATTTGTAAAAGGGCAAAACTTGCAAGCAAATTGCCACTGCCTGACCCTAGCTGAAATGCCATTCCCTCATGAAATGCCATGAGGTGAAACTGTGTTCACACCAAGGGGTACAGGGAATCAGTACATGCACAAGGCCTCAGGGTTTTCAGCAAAGTACATTCTCACATAAACTGCCTCTGCGCACATCCACATTCAGCATATTAACACCGCCATCAACATTTCAAACAGAACTAAATAAATAATTAGCACATGTTGTTACCATTTAAGGTTCGATAGAAGACCCCCCTCCATATTTTGTACCAAATAATCAGTAGTACTTCATAGGCTGCTAGTTATCGAGCGTAGTAAACTCTCTCAAGCTGTGCTTTATGTTATTATCCATAGCAGCGGTTGGTGGGAACAGTAGTTTTACTACAACAACGGCAACAAAATTCAAATACCTCTTACAATCAGGTCTGCAGCAGCTGATAGCTTGTCCACACTTGTTTGCACCATGCAGACGTATTTTCCAGCGTGATTCAGCTGGATGCTTCTGATCATCAAATCACCAGCTGAATCCTGCTGATAAAGTAAGGGAAAGTGGTTACAATTACTTTTTAATGAGCTCTAAACATCATTATCACATGAAGGACAACTGTGGCTAATGGATTTATTTTACATCAGCTGATGAAAATGCTCATAACGCAACCCATAACCTATTTAATATATGTGAGCTTTCCTTGAAGATAAGAGCTGAAAGTATGGTTGCCTATAAGGGACACAGGAGCTTCGGGTCAGTCAAATCATTACCGCAAATGTGATTTGACGGAGGGTTGGAGGGGGGGGGCGGTGGGCTGTGCTTTGCCATACTCCAGACATCCAGTTTATAGCCTTCATTGCTATTCAGATGTCTGTATTCCTCCTACATCCATTTAACAAGTGAGCACCAGCCCAAATTGGGACGCATTTGTTAACAGCTTCTATAGTCTTTGTGCCGCAGCCAGCATTTCGATTGCCTGGCTTTTGTATTAAAAGGTCATGAGGACAGTGCTCTCTGAGGACATGTGCATTACCTAGCATGAAAGAAGGATAATTTGTTTTTCCAAATGCCAAATGCTCATGTGTGATTAGCAGTTGCAGGTAACTAATTATAGTTCTGCATGATTGTGTGACTCGAAAAACACACACACCCAAACACATTTTCTCTGTCCACCAGGCACAGTGCTTAACAAGTTAGAAATCTAAGCATAAGATTGCAGTTGCAGCCTTTTAATTGAGAGATATTAATATAGTACATATTTTGGGGTTTGGGGATACAATTACATGTAATTGCAAGCCACAGCTGTTATCGCTGCTGCTATGCCCCCTGCAGGGCAGAACTTTTAAATGATTTATTTTATCTTCCACAGCTTTCTGCATTTCAGCACCTGTCTTGATAGTCAAGGGATGGCAGCTAATGTTTGCAACTGCAATTTCCTCTTCTGTTTGTGGAATGAAAACCAGTATGGCTCAGAGTTTACCTTGGATCTGGGATAGCTGGTTCCAGGTAGCACTGGCTTAATTTGCCTTGGGCAAATTACTAGCGCTTGGCCTCAGCTTACCTTAAAATAGCTGATGACCATTTTACACGAGGTAAAAAATAAATAAAGGCAGAGGGTAAAGCATTTTGAAAACAAAAATGCTTTATAAGTACCAGCAACAGGGACTACTGTTCAAATGGCTTTAAAATGAACTACCGTATTTTTCCATGTATAAGACTAGGATTTTTTACTAAAAAAAATAATGCTAAAAAGGGGGGCATTTTGAGAACAAACAGCGGTCACAAACCAAGGTTTGATCACAGCTTTTTTCCCTCAGGAACCACAGTTTCCCTGAATTCAGAACAAAAAAATTCCTTCCAGTAGCACCTTAAAGACCAACTAAGTTAGTTCTTGGTATGAGCTTTCGTGTGCATGCACACTTCTTCAGATTCGGTGTATCTGAAGAAGTGTGCATGCACACGAAAGCTCATACCAAGAACTAACTTAGTTGGTCTTTAAGGTGCTACTGGAAGGAATTTTTTTGTTTTGACTATGGCAGACCAACACGGCTACCTATCTGTAACCTGAATTCAGACATAATGAAGAATTCTGATTAGTTTTAAACAGGAAGTGGGGGCTTCTCATCTCACGCTTATGCCAGAGAAGAGGCATGGGAGGAAGCATACAAGCCAGAGGCTTGGTGTCGCTCTTGCACGTACTACTAAAACTAGGAGAAACTCAAACAGCATTGCATAAGGATGGATATTAGACAGTGGCTAGGATCCAAAGAGCTGCTCATGAAAGGGGCTTGCACTAGCCCAGTGGAAATAGAGTTTTCTCCCATTTCAACAGCTGTCTCCTATGTCGTATCACAAGCTGTGTTTGAAGTTCCCTTTGATCATAAAGCAGTTTGCCATACATGAGGAGAGCAGGGAGGGGGCTGCTGTTTGGTAAGTCTAAGGGCTCCTTGTGATCATGAACAGTACCAGTTCTATAGCTCTTTGGATTCTGGTCCAAGTTTCCAAAATATTTCTGAAGCCTGATTCCCTTAACAGCCAGGGATAAGGGGGTGATTATGAGGATGGTAGCAGCTGCTTGGATCATCTCTGGAACCCAAAGCATGGCTGAAAGTCTGCATACACTAGACAATTGCAGCAGCAGAAGGGATAAAATAGAGCCTGATTATGTGGGCAGCATTTATTGCAAGGCTGTAGGTAAGTTTCTGGGCTCTGGTGAGAAGGGGAAAGACAAAGTCATGTGCAGCCTCATATGATGCCATCAGAGCTGTACATTCCCATACAGGAGCCTTGCATTCTATGTAGTATAGAACCCACCCATAATCAGTTTCAAAGAACAGCTTGCTGTCTCTGCCATTTTGGATTTTGGTAACACATATACTAAATATAAGCTGATCTCCATTATATAGAAAAGGTGGCAATCTGCCTCTCAGACACCATCTGGTGCTTCCTGCTTAGCAGTAATGGGTGGTATGCAAATAAGTATTACTCAGAGTAGATCTGTCAAAATTAATTGACATAACAGATTCGTGTTCATTAATTTCAGTGGGTCCACTTCCGTGTAGAGCTTAGTTGAATGTCATCCAATTTCTTTTTTTAAGCTGTGAAGGGTGGTGACAAATTGCAAATAAGGATGGTGACAAATAATGCAAACTACTGCCAAATGCTTAAGACCTAACTTCACATTTGTTTCTATGTCAGTGCAAAGTTGAACATTTGTCATGATTTGCTAATGATCTTTAGCTTCTGAAAAGCAGAGAATTCTGAGAAATTACTCTTTGGACAATGCAACTGAGGAGATACAAAGATTACCACGCTAGCAAGACAATTGGAAAGAATTAGGCTGCAATCCTGCCCCCAACCGTGCCTTGATGTCATTGGGGGGTGCGGGAGCAAGTAGGTTGTATTTCATATCCTCTCTGCCAGCTTTAGTAGTAGAGGACTACTGGTGAGGTGGGGTTTCACTGCAGCAGATGCCCCCAGCTCCACCTAAAATGGTAGTAAGCTACTGCTTGCAGTCCTCCAGCTGCCAGGAGAAAGGCCCTCAAACAGGCCATTTCAAAGCAGTGCAGCAGGAACTTGGCATCTGCATGATGCTAAGCTCCATGGATCCCATGAGGGTCTAACCCAGGGTTTTCCAAATTGGTTCTCCAGCTGTTTTTGGACTAAAATTCCTATCATCCCTGGACACTGCTAGCTAGGGATGATGGGAGTTGTAGTCCAAAAACAGCTGGAGACCCAAGTTTGGAAAACCCTGGTCTAACCTGTTGGCCCCTGAGCTACACCAACTTGGAACTGATGGAGCAAAAGAAAAATGGTGATAAGGCACTCCTCCTATCTCACTGGTGGCAGAAGCTGGCAGGGTTTCGGGTCCAGCAGAGGATTCAGTGTCCAACTCTTCCCATGTCCCTCATTAGGAGTGGTCAGTTAAACATGGGTTTGTTTTCACAACAGTTATATCTATTCAGTGCACACATTCACACTGATATTCTTAAACAGTACAGTGGTACCTTGGGTTACATACGCTTCAGGTTACAGACTCTGCTAAACCAGAAATAGTAACTTGGGTTAAGAACTTTGCTTCAGGATGAGAACAGAAATCGTGCTCCGGCAGCGCGGCAGCAGCAGGAGGCCCCATTAGCTAAAGTGGTGCTTCAGGTTAAGAACAGTTTCAGGTTAAGAACAGACCTCTGGAACGAATTAAGTACTTAACCCGAGATACCACTGTACTGGTTCACATCGGCAGCAAAGTACTTCTGTTCCGATTGCACTGTCAGTTCAAGGGAGAGTGAACTGTACTGGCACTGTAGACAGTACGTAAATGAAGCATTTCATTGCTGGAGTTATTATGTTGCATACTATTACAGTTTGAGTATGTAGGTGTGTACACACCCAGTGTTGGAAGCTGGCAGAGGCTGCATGCATACTATACCTTTAAAACACGTTCAAAGCACATTTCCCACACTCAAGGAATTCTGGGGAATGTAGTTTGTTAAGGGTTGCTCAGAACTGTAAATCTGTGAGGGGTAAAATGCAGTGCCCAGAATCCTTTGAGAGGAGGAAATGTGCTCTAAAGATATAAACACAGCTAGAGTTGTAGGTCTGCCCATAAACATATCTTGCTCATTGCTGAAATTCTCAGCACTCATAAAGAATTGCCTTGGTAGATTACTAATAGTGATACTTACCCCTCCAACTCTTTCAAAGTGATCCCCATCTTTTTCAAAGTCTATCAGGTGTCCATTAAATGACCAAGTAAACAGAATATCTAGCGGGTGATCATGAGATACCTGGCAAGGCAGAAGAATACTTTCGCCAGCAGTGACATCCATGCTGTTAGGTGCCACCATAAATCGTGTTGGATCTGCAGGTAATAAAGGACACCAAAGAAAGTAACTCACCTGATTTAAAAACAACAGTAACAACAACACACAGAGAGAGATTACAGCTCTTAAGTGGTCCTTAACTAAAGCGGGTTCAATGAGGTTTATACCAACAGTATGACCAGTAGTAAAAGGTAAATGACCCCTGGACAGTTGAGTCCAGTCAAAGGCAGCTATGGGATGCAGCGCTCATCTCGCTTCAGGCCGAGGGAGCCGGTGTTTGTCCACAGACAGCTTTCCAGGTCATGTAGCCAGCAGGACTAAACCACTTCTGGTGCAACGGGACACCGTGATGAGTGCCAGAGTGCACGGAAACACCATTTACCTTCTGGCCGCAGTGGTACCTATTTATCTACTCACACTGGCAGTATCAGGTCACTGTACTGTTCCACACTGACAAGTGGAGAGTAAACTGAGCTAGTAGTTTGGTCAGTGCAGAGACAAGTTGTCATTACTATTGAAAGCTACAGCTTGAGTGTATTTATTGCTGTATGGGTTTAAGTGTACCCCAAATTAAAATAATGATGGATTGACAAAATTGAGTTGTATGCAACATTAGTCTTTATTGAAGTTCATGAATATGGCTAACTTAGGTCCATTAATTTCAATGTGTCTATTCTGACTATAGCTTAGTTGGATGCAGCTTACTGTGTTCTTTCTTAAAATCTCTAGTTTAAATACAGGTGATTATTTTGATTTTAGTGTATTTCTCTTGGGTTGTTTTTTTTTTGGGGGGGGGTTAAGAAACAAAACCAAACATGTCAACTTATAAAATCAGCAACCAGGAAAATCCAGAAAGGCAGTTATGCTCATAGCCATATACAAATAAAAAACATGCTTCAGAACCATACAGAGTAAAGGTATATCTAGCCAGATTAAGCACTTTTATATCCCATTGTTTTCAGTGGAAAGCTAAGCATGGACCAACGGTCACGTAATCCAACCCCTGCAATGCAGAAATCTCAACTAAAGCATCCATGGCAGATGGCCATCCAAGCAACCTCCAATAATAATAATAATTTATTATTTATACCCCAGGTCCTATCCTCCGGTTTGGGTCCTATCCTCTGGAGCAGGAGAAAACAAGCTTGCTCCATCTTCCATGTTACAGCTGTTTAGATATTTGAAGATGGCTATCATGTCTCCTCTCAGTCTTCTCTTATCCAGGCCAAACATACCCAACACTCTCAACCGTTCCTCCTAAGGCTTGGTTTCCAGACCCTCGATCATCTTGGTCACCCTCCCCTGAAGCTAAGTAGGTGTTGAGCAGTTCTGCCTTTTCCCTGTCGCCCAATAGCATCTCTCCATTTTCACTTGCCCAACAAATTATTTCTGGAGAATGCATTGTTTTGGTAGCAAGACCTCTGTGTTGTGTGGCGTGTGAAGTACAATTGTGGTTAAACTGAATTAAACAAGGTAAGAATAAAATATAAGCAATAAACGTGTATTTTCAGTGTTTATAGAATTTACAGCGTGTTGCTGGTGACAAAGCAGTAAAAGTTTTTTAAATGGCAGATTTGTGCAACCTTAATCTGCATGATGATAAAGTATGGGCCCTATCTTTTTGAAACTGCTCTCACACACTTTGTTACATGTTTAAATATTATATTAAACCTTTACAACGCAGAAGCATATGGTACCATGTAGCAAAATCTGAATATTCTGCTCATATAAATAATGAATTATTGTAAGGAATGTCTAGTATTAGAGTCTAAACAGAATACACTGCCACAGTTTCTCCAGTAAGAACCCGAGGAAATGATTTTGCGTGGACAGGCGGAATCCCCAGGTCCCGAGCGGCCCCCCCCCGTCATGCGGAATAACGACTCAAGACAATGTGCTATGGGATTAAATTGGCCACAACTTTATTAAATTTCAAATGTGGGTAGACCTTGGCTCAGGCATTGGGCGTTCTCCCTCCCCAGTCCCCAGCCGGGGACCTAGGGAGCATCAGGGTTATCCAGTGTTTGTGTGGGGGATGGGCCGACTCTGGAGAACATATGTTCAAGCAGAGATAGCAGCCCCCGTTACGCCGCTGCTGCAGGGGAGAGCAATGACGACCTTTCGGCGTAAGGTCAAAGCCTCCCTTCAGAAACCCCTTTAACGGGGAACCCTGGTATCGCCGCTGCAAGAGGAAGATGGACTAAAGGATTCCGCCCAAGGCCTGATACCGCCAAAGTTGTGGCATTTTGCTACGGGAAAGGCGAAACCTGCCAATGCAGGGAAATTCCTTTCCGGCCCTTTAACAGCGACCTTAACGTAGCAGCGCCCGCATACCTGTGAAGAAAAGTTAACCTGCAAAAGAAGGCATTAACTGAGGGTGGGTAGGGTGGGAGAAGCTCTGGAGCCAAGTGAGGATTCCCAGGTAAGATCCTCCCTCTGTTGTGTGGGCAGGTAATCCCTCCCCCACCTGGCCTGGTCTCCTTGGCAACGCTTCCCCCAGGTGGGATTGGACATCTGACTGAGGTAGGCGGAGACCTCCAGGTATCCCACCTGAGTGAAGGCAAAGCCAAGCCTATGCTGAATGGAGCCGCTCCAGATCCAGGGACTGCGCGCATCCACGCAAAGGGCACCCCCCCCCATTTTATGCGGGGAGCAGTCATTATTAATAGATACTATTTGCATCTAGCCAATAGACACACAACCAAGGCAGCCAATGATATGTTATAAACATGAATAATGCAAGTATAAGGGTGGAACTATATGGTCTAAAAAACTTATATCATGTTTCCAAAGAGGAAAAATGGGACCTATTTCTCCAAATGGAAGCTTCTGTTGGCTATTTGCAGTATGGCAGCGCTGCAGAGAGCTTGCTGGGGAGATCATGCATTAAAAAGAAAAGGACTCAAAAATAACTTAAACAAGGTTTTAATTACAAAAACAAAAACTCCATTTACACTAAATAGATCAACAACAAACCAGACCCAACCACCAACCCATCCCCCAGGGTAATGGGAGAGCTAGGTGCTGCTCCTTATATACTACACCCAAATGCTGACACACCTTAATCAAATACAACTCAGCAGCACCTGCTGTGTTTCACAGCTGTAAAGCTGGGTCTCGTTAGTTTGCTCTGGCCCTTGCTCTGGCCTCTTAAAGACATACACATCGAGTGGAACAATGATGAACCTTTACATTTAAAGAAACCATTCAACAGCTTCATGCCAAAATCTCCCTGCACAGTGTATAGTGGAATGGACTACATGGCCTGGTCATGTCATTAGGCTGAGCATCTCTCCATCTGCCCATCAACAGGTAGTGATGCAGACTGGGAAGAAATACACCATATAATGACAGAAGGACTCAAAGTGACTTGTACCACACCTTTCTAAAGTGGGTACATGACACAGAGTTGCTATTTCACCAGTACGCCCAAGTTTCTTCTAACATATTGTTCTCACCTATGGAAAGAAAGGAAGTATTTGATGAAACGTATCAAGAGTCCTTGGGCCACCCTACTACATATTTACTTGATCTCTTAGTTCTGTTGTACTCAGCAACCCCTTCTAGGTTTGATGGAAGTCTGCAATAGAGATAGCTACATATTACCTCCAGTATCAGAAGCAATATGCCACTGAATATCAGCTAGCAACATAGCATGCTATCTTATACCAAGGCAGACCTGTGGTTTGTCAGTAGTGTTTACACCGATTGACAGTGGCTCTCTAGTATTTCAGAGAGAGGTCTCTCCCAGCCATACCAGGAGATGCTGGGGAGTGACTTTGGAACCTTCTGCATGCTCTCCCACAGAGCCACTGTGAAAACAGAATGCTGAGCTAGATTGGTCTCTGGTGTATATAAGAAGTTCTCAGTAGGGCTCTCCTTAGATTGCCATTTCTGAACATTTGTTTCCCTGACATCCCTTTGTAACGAAATACCATGCAGGGTTTCAGATAAAATTAGGACTTTTAAAACCTTGGATGAGGCAATTGAAAGTTCTACCGAGGACTTAAAAACCGATTACAGACAATTGGATGAGTTTCACTGTATTTACAAAGGAAAAGTACACCAAGGAAAGATGAGGTTCAGGAGGCAACCAGCTCTTTCTTATCAGGGCCTCTCTCATCTATATGGGTCTCATTCAAGCTGAGGGAAGTTTAAGGGCAGGTTTTCTGATGAATTCCAGGCGACTCACAGCAACCTCTCAATGATTTGCTGTATTGCTTTAGGCAAGTAAGTTAATTGCAATGCTCCTCAGTTTCTTTTTCAGCACAAGGAAGCAGCATTTATCCACTTGACGTGATTTAATGAGACCCGGTTAACAAATATGAACAGAGGAATAAGTTTCGCTAATGATTTTAGGAAACAGAAATGGCTTCGGTTAGACATCTAGTAGAGAAGAGGTCCAGAATTCACCACTCAGTACATGGGTTCCAGGTGTAATTCCTTTGTCATTACAGAAATTCACTCCTTTCCCTACCCCTTTCAACTCTTTTCTTAATCAATACCAACAAAACTGCAACATCGACATGCTACAAATACTCAACAAAGGGGAAACTGTGCTATGTACATTACATTACAGACCGAGTCCATCCACATTATCATTATACTTTAATCACAGTCATTTTGAGAGCCAAATTGGCTACCTTAACATGTGATCTCCAAAATGTCAAATACTATAAATGAGATAGATGACAATAAAAACGCTATGACTGTACTGCCATACAGTAATTGAAGTAAGGGGGAGGAGATTTTTACACTTCCCCCTCTCCTGTAGCCCTCTTCACAGCTCCATCCAGAAAATCTGTGTGAGCTGCAGGAGGAAGCCGAGGTGAGGAAAACTCACCTCCACTCTACATCCATTAGAGAGCCTCCACTAGATTAATGACTATTATATGAACAGAAAAACACAATTGACTGCAACCCTTCATCTTTACAAGGGCTACTTAAATAGTACACAAATTACTCATACATACTCATTAAATGCAACCATCCATTCCTTGGTTTGTTCTGGACTGTTGATTTCCTGAATTTTGGTAAT